TTCGGGGTCTGGGGGCTCCCATGGATTTGGGGATTTTTTGGGGTGCCCCCAGTGCTGCCGGGGCCCCCCCGGAACGTGTCGGTGTCGGCGGGGGGGGCGCGGGGGGAGCTCTGCGTGCGCTGGGCCCCCCCCCCCGGGCCCTACCTGGCCTCCAGCCTGGTCTTCGAGCTGGCCCTGAGCCCCCCGGGGGGACCCCCAAAAACGGTGAGCGGCCAATGGGGGCCGAGGCCTTTGGGGGCCTTTGGGGGGGGGTTTGGGGTCGTTTGGGGGGGATTTGGGGTCGTTTGGGGGGGATTTGGGGTCATTTGGCAGCAATTTGGGGTCCCTTGGGTGAGTTTTGGGGTCCCTTGGAGGGGTTTTGGCATAATTTGGGGTCCCTTGGGGGGGTTTTGGGGTCCCTGGAGGGGTTTTTGGGGTGGCCTCGGAGGGGTTTGGGATAATTTCGGGGCAGTTTGGGGTCCTTTGGGGGCATTTTGGGGTCATTTGGGAGCGATTTGGGGTCCCGGGGGGGTTTTGGGGTGGCCCTGGAAGGGTTTGGGGTCATTTCAGGGCAGTTTGGGGGGGCGCTGCAGGGTTTTGGGGTGGCCCCGGAGGGGTTTGGGGTCATTTCGGGGGGGGTTGGGGTCCCTTGGGAGGGGTTTGGGGTCCCCTTGGGGGAGTTTTGGGGTCCCTTGGGGGGGGTTTGGCATAATTTGAGGTCCCTTGGGGAGGGTTTGGGGTCATTTGGGGGTGATTTGGGGTCCCTTTTGGTGGTTTTTAGGGTCCCTTTCCAGTCCCTTGGGGGTTTTTGGGGTCCCGGTGTTGATTTTGGGGTCCCAGCGGGGTTTTTGGGGTCCCAGCGGGGATTTTGGGGTCCCTGTGTTGATTTTGGGGTAACTTTCGGGATTTCGGGGTCTGTCCCAGGTGGGGGTCCCGGCCGGGCGGCGCGAGCAGCGGGTCGGGGGGCTCCGGGCCGGCGGGGTTTTTGGGGTCCCTGTGGGGTTTTTGAGGTCCCTGTGTTGTTGATTTTGGGGTCCCTCTGGGGTTTTTGGGGTCCCGGTGTTGATTTTGGGGTCCCGGTGTTGATTTTGGGGTCCCTGTGTTGTTGATTTTGGGGTCCCTCTGGGGTTTTTGGGGTCCCGGTGTTGATTTTGGGGTAACTTTCGGGATTTCGGGGTCTCACCCAGGTGGGGGTCCCGGCCGGGCAGCGCGAGCAGTGGGTCGGGGGGCTCCGGGTCAGCGGGGATTTCGGGGTCCCTGCGGGGATTTTGGGGTCCCTGCGGGGTGTTTGGGGTCCCAGCGGGGATTTTGGGGTCCCTGTGTTGTTGATTTTGGGGTCCCTGCGGGGTGTTTGGGGTCCCAGCGGGGTGTTTGGGGTCCCTCTGGGGTTTTTGGGGTCCCGGTGTTGATTTTGGGGTAACTTTCGGGATTTCGGGGTCTGTCCCAGGTGGGGGTCCCGGCCGGGCGGCGCGAGCAGCGGGTCGGGGGGCTCCGCGCCGGGACCCCGTACTCGGTGCGCGCCCGCGCCCGGCCCGACGGGCTCAGCTACGGCGGCTTCTGGAGCCCCTGGTCCCGGCCCGGCAGCGCCTCCACCGCCCCCGGTGAGCGGCACCGGGACTCGGGGGACACCGGGACACGGGGACAGCGGCACCGGGACACCGGGACACGGGGGGACAGGGACACCGGGACACGGGGGACACCGGGATAGCGGCACCGGGACACGGGGGGACACCGGGACAGCGGCACCGGGACACGGGGGACACCGGGACACGGGGACAGCGGCACCGGGACACGGGGACAGGGGCACCGGGACACGGGGACAGCGGCACCGGGACACGGGGGGACACCGGGACACGGGGACAGCGGCACCGGGACACGGGGGGACACCGGGACAGGGACACGGGGACAGGGACAGCGGCACCGGGACACGGGGACACGGGGATAGCGGCACCGGGACACGGGGGGACACCGGGACAGCGGCACCGGGACACGGGGAGACACCGGGACACCGGGACACCGGGACAGCGGCACCGGGACACGGGGACAGGGACACCGGGACACGGGGAGACACCGGGACACCGGCACCGGGACACGGGGGGACAGGGGGACAGGGGGACAGGGACACCGGGACACGGGGACATGGGGACACAGGGACGGGGGGGACAC